AGGAGCGGCCACTGCACTCCAGTCTGGGTGAGAGTGAGACTACAACTCAAAAAATTAAAAAATAAATAAATAAATAAATAAATAACCTGTTAGACACCTTGATCATCAACTTCCAGCCTCCAGATCTGTGAGAACATAAATGACTGGTGTTTAAGCCCTGGTTTGTGACATCTCCTGTGGCAGCTGCAACATGAAACTCTCATTTTCGTGGAGGATGTTCAATCTCTGCTTACTCAAGTCTGCCTTGAAGGTGTCAGAGTCTAAATAAAAATGTAGAGATGAATCTCTACATTTAATGTTTGATTTGGGAAGAAGGAATTGAAATGCAGGGCATTCACGCAGACCAGTGGTCTTCCCTGTGTCCAATGAACACAGAGGTTAGATATCTTATAAAGGAAGAAATGCTATTTGTTGTTCTTTGAGAAAGTTAATCGGCTCTCATAAAGGTTTGGCTATGACAAAAGAGTTAGAGATCAGCAGAGGTAGAATGTTATGGGAGCTGGTGAAAAAGTTGAGGGAGAGAGTTATCATCCCAGACCTTCTCAAGGGGGGAAAACCTGAAGGCACTGATGAACAATCTATCCTGTGTAGCAAGATACAGCAAAAGCTGAACTCCTGAGATAAGACTTTGGGAAATTCCAAAAGCAAAACTGGGCCTCAGAAAATGAACTTATCATTAGAAATGAAGGGGACAGCATTTTTAACCTGAAACTGGAAATTATGTTGAGCTCAGGAAGAAGATGGGCGCTAAAGAAATAGATTTTGCAATTAAAAATCCAGATCTCTTGCAACTTGATAAAGAACAGATCACTACTTCAAGGACACCTTGCATCTTAAATATAAGGGGCCAGACTCTGATCCTGCATCAGTGTGCCTCTGAGAGCAGTGTTCAATTTTTAGAAAAACACATTTAAGACAAAAATGTATCACACAATGCTCTTTTATGTAAACATTTTTAAAAATTATATTTTGAATAATAGATCTAAAAATATTTCATCTTTTTAATAAAATTTAAGAAATCAAGAATAAACATATTTATTTAGCAACTTGTTTCAGTTTTTAAAAAAATCTTATTTGGGCTGGGCGCAGTGGCTCACACCTATAATCCCAGCACTTTGGGAGGTCTAGGAGAGAGGACTGCCTGAGCCTATGGGTTCAAGACCAGCCCTGGCAACAAAGGTGAAACCTCATCTCTACAATAAATAACAAAATTAGCCAGGCATGGTGGCACATGCCTGTAGTTCCAGTTACTTGGAAGGTTGAGGCAGAAGGATCGCCTGAGCCCAGCAGGTCGAGGTTGCAGTGGCTGTGAGTGTGCCATTGCACTCCAGTCTGGGTGGCAGAGTAAGACTCCAACTCAAAAAAAAAAAAAAGAAACTTCAAGTTAAAAACATGGGTATCTTGCCAAAAACACAGAAGATACCGAAGCTTTTATTAACACTATTAAATTAATCTTATTTATTAAAGCATTTTGTAAATAGTTTGTTTTTAGGCTAGGTCTATAGCTTTTTGACCTTAAGACATCTAGTAGAAGCAAATATCAAACTATGTGAGGAATCAGGCCTACATAAAAATATATGCTGACCATGTTAAAGACATTTCTAACTTTTTAAATCAACAAATTAAAAACCAATTAATTTATTATTTATTTATTTATTTTGAGTTGGAGTCTCACTCTGTCTCCCAGACTGGAGTGCAGTGGCCGCTCCCGGCCACCACAGCCTCGACCTGCTGGGATCCGGCGATCCCTCCACCTCAGCCTTCCGAGTAGCCGGAACTACAAGCGCGCACTACCACACCCGGCTGATTTTTTTATTTATTGTAGAGATGAGGTCTCACTGCCCAGGCGGGTCTCGAACCCGCGGGCTCAGGCAATCCACTCACCTCAGCCTCCCAAAGGCGCGGGATTACAGGCTGAGCCACTGAGCCCCGCACCAATTAATTTATTAACGATCCACTTAAGTCACATGCAATCACAAGAAAAAAAAAATTTTTTTTTTAGTCTGCTTCTCACTCTGTCACCCAGACTGCAGAGCAGTGGTATCATAGTTCACTGCACCCTCGACTTCTTGGGCTCAGGTGATCCTTCCACCTCAGCCTCTGGAGTAGCTGGGTGCCACCACACCCAGCGAATTCTTAAATTTTTTGTAAAAGAGGTCTCACTATGTTGTCTAGACTGGGCTCAAGTGATCCTCCCACCACGGCCTCCCAAAGTGATGGGATTACAGGCATGAAGGGACGTGCCCAGCCTAATTATTGTATATTTAATATGAGTACTGGTTTATTTAAACCTAGGAAACAAAATCTTTGTCACTGCAGCATCATCTCACTTCCGTTAGAGAGACTCAGAACCTGTGAAATTCACTTGTGCCTGCAGGTGTGCTTGCTTACAGAAACGGAGGCCAGACGCCTTCACCACAAACAACCACAAGATGAGGAAATAGTACTGCAGTGCCACCTGACTGAATCTCACTTAGTCAGCACACAGTCATCTGCGCCCAGCTGGGAGAGATGCACCTTGCTGGCCACAGATCAGGTCAGCTGCAAAAGAAAGAACGAAACTGCGTACACTCCAACTCTCCCTGGAAAGTGCCACCTCTTTCCCAGGATCCATGCCCTTAATTTCCACCTACCTACCCTGGGATCCCTTAAAATTCCCCTCTACCTTACCCCATGAGGTGTTTCGAGTACGATCTCCCCTTCTCCATTCCTCCATCCACAAATAAAGTTTCCGCCTTGGTTTCCCAAGCCTAGTTTCACTCTATTGGCACTTTTATTTTAGAAATTTAGCCATGAGACAGTAAAAATGATAACATCACTGATTTAAAACAGTTGGATCTCAATTATTTTTCTGAAAAAATGAGATCAGTCTAAACTTATATTTGCTTTTGTAATAGGCAATCTTATAAAGGTTGTGAGTTGAATTTGAGGTAAAGCAGTTTGGATCAGTAACCAATATACTGGATTAAACAAAGAATAGTTAACTGTGAAAATGTGACTGAATCCTATGAGGAGGTCCAGAAGATAAGCATTTCTTTAATAAAGGCTGGACAATGTTCTCTAGGGCTGAATTCTTTGTCCTTGAAGATAAGAATATTGCCTTCCTTTTAGGATAAGGAAAGTGTCTTTCCATGGGAATTTCAGTTTTTGCTCTTATGAAACAGCACAGAGTTCATAATTATTTTATTTTTGTATCTGCTGTTTCTTAAGCATTTTAGTTAAAAAGTCAGTATGCCAGAATTGATGCTTAGAGAAAGATAAAGAGGAGAAATTATAAGAAGGGGAGGGGAAAGGTTGGTGAGTGAAAAAGTTTCAGCCAGATTTGAGATGGTATTTTGTAGTGAGGCAACCACTGGGTCCTGAATGGTTTTGTGATTGCTTTTGTTGTTGTTTAACCTCAAGATATCAATGGGATACACTTGTCATATTTGGAGTATATGATTTTAAACCACAATCTTTTTATTTTGAGATGGGGTCCTGCCCTGTTGCCCAGGCTGGAGTACAGTAGCATGATCATAGCTCACTGCCACCTTGATCTCCTGGGCTCAAATGATCTTCCTGCCTCAGTCCCCCCATTTGCTAGGACTACAGGTGCACCACCATACCCAGCTAATTTTTAAAAAATTTGGTAGAGACAGGGTCTACTATATTGTGTAGTCTGGTCTCGAATTCCTGGCCTCAAGTGATTCGTGAGGCTTGGTCTTCCTAAGTGATGAGATTGCAGATGGGAGTCATTGCACCTGGCCAGTGACCACGTTTTCTTAGTTTAGGGTTAAGAACAAGATACTGAATGATCCCTACAAGCTGTAGTCCCAGGGACTTCCTTGGCATGCTTTTGAACTCTGAGTGTTCATTTGTAACTAAACTTATGTGACTTAGTTTAATGTTGAATACACAAAGGTCAAATAAATGCAAGCATTGATGAAAAGTAAAGGACATATTTAACCTGAAAGGAAGGGTGCCTTCTCCAAATGAGGGGGAAACCCTTTCTTCCAAACCTCCAAGGTCCAAAACTCATAGCTGGGATCAACAGGAAGAAAATCACACTTCCAAAAGGAGTTCTTCTGATAGGAGAGGAAAATCTCACCCCAGCCCCATCCCAAATAAACTAAACCTGGGAGTTCTGTACAAGAGAGATCCACCTAGGGAGGAGGAGCAACTAGTGTGGGAACCTCACATTGTAGTTCCAAGATTCGGTGATTCTCCACAAGGTGAGTCAGCATTGCATCCCACTTCTGACACCATATCTGTTGCAGTCAAAATAAAACTGTGGAGAGGAATCTCCAAATTTAACAGTTTATTTGAGAAGAGTTGCAATTTGGGCATGCACGCAGAACAAAGAGAAGGTGAAAGATTTTATGAAAAGGATAAACATTATATATTGCTCTTTGAGAAAGGTCATGGGCACTATAAGGTGTGGGGAGATGGCAGACTCCCTTTGTGGGCAATCTCAGTGGGTTAAAAAAATTTATCTCAGAAGATATAGGTACAACTGGCTTCAGGGTACAAACAAGCAGTTTCAGTTAGACTTGCAGAGAATGAGATTTCAGGTGCCGTGTTTTGTACCCTGAACTCTTCTCCCTCCACCCCAGTTTCTGGCCTCTATTTTAGTTAGGTATGACAAGAATGACCCAATTCTTAGGCTCAGCTTTTACATAGGATGTTTCTCAAAGCTTCTTAGTTTGATGCCTACATATATTTATAGGTTCTATTTAATGGCAGGAATTGCTGTCAGTGGTAACACAGAGGAAGCCAGGGTAAGGACTCTCTGGCTGGAGGGAAAGAGGACAGGGGTGAATGGAGGCTGCTCTGGAGACTGTGAGAGGGGCCCCTTACAGGAAGACCCAACAGAGCAGAGAGGTGCCACTGAGGTGGAGGGAGCACCCAGGGTTGGCCCTGAGGACAGGAGGGAGCACAAGAGGCACAGGCAGGAGTGGATCTGGCCAGGGACCAAGGGAGGGTCTCAGGAGGATGGCAAAGAGGCGAGATGGGAGAGACAATGAGGAGAAGCAATCCCTCACCCAAGAATCGCATCCAGCTTGGTGACCATAAGTTCATAATTTTCATGCAGTCCTACCCAAGGCTCAAATGGCTCATTGTTGGTGTACACAAAGTTTTCCCAACAGTAGTCAAATTCTGAGACAGAAGAGGGGAGAAAGCAGTCAGGATCCATCAGACCCACCCCCCAACCCTTCCCCTCTCCTCCCTGGCCTGGTGTCTGGGCTGCCAGGGACTGTCAGTGCTGGCTCAGTCCCTGCAGGTTCCCCTGGGACACCTGTCCTCATCTGCATGGAGGACCTGTCCATCTCTCCTGCTCCCTCTGCTTCACCCATACCCTGACCCCCACTTCTCACCGTCATAGCTCATGATCATCACGTGGGCCCCTTCCTCACACAGCTGGCGAAGCCCCCACTGGGTATCTGAGTCATGGAGGTAGTAGAGGCGGGCAGCGTAGATGGTCAAGCTGACTTTGGGATGGGCTGACAGGAACTCAGCCACCTGCTTTGCACAATCGGCACAGGGGCTCCAGGATATGAACCAGGTGACCTGGTAGTGCTTGCCATGGAGCAGCATGTTTTCCAGGAACCAAGAGAGGAAGCACATCTCTGCATGGCAGTTTATCCTGGGGGTGACCTGAGTGAGGAGGAGGAGATGTGCTGAGAGGTTGAAGTGCAAGGAGGGGCCAGGCCAGGAGCCCCAGGGCGCTGGATTTCTTGGGGTTTCTTTCCTCCGTCCTTCCCCTTCTGCCTTTTGTAATTTAGCTTTCCTGAGCCCACTCATGAACTCATGTGTGGATCCTGGCGCCCGTCCTCCCAGGCACCCATTCCACAGGCACCCTGCCCAGGAGAACTGTCCGTAGAGGGCCACTGGCCACCGCAGGCCCTTAACACTTAGTGTGGCTCTGATTGGAGAGAGGGGCAAGAGTAGAATACACAGCCCTTTTCAAAGACTCTGTGTGAGAATAAAAAGAATCTTAACTGCCTCCTGAGAAATTTTATGCTAATTATATGCGGAAGTATGATTTTCAATACACTGAACTAAACAAAATATTAAAATGAAGTAATTTGGCTGGGCTTGGTGGCTCAGCCCGTAATCCTGCGCCTTGGGAGGCTGAGGTGGGTGGATTGCTTGAGCCTGCGGGTTCGAGACCCACCTGGGCAACTTGGTGAGACCTCATCTCTACAATAAATTAAAAAAAAAACTAGCCGAGCATGGTAGCGCGCGCCTGTAGTTCCAGCTACTGGGAAGGCTGAGGTGGAAGGATCGCCAGAGCCCAGCAGGTCGAGGCTGCAGTGGCCGGGAGCGGCCACTGCACTCCAGTCTAGGTGACAGAGTGAGACTCCAACAACAACAAAAAATAAATAAATAAATAAAATAAAATAAAATAAAAGTAATTTGTGTGAAAAGCACGGGAGGTAGAAACATTTATTTTCAGTCATGACCCTGTATCTTTGTAGGGCCTGGGACCCACAGATGGCTCCCTCGGAGCACACTCAGAAGTCTCCTGCCTGGGTGCAGATGGGCAGAAGGGAGGTTAGTGGCCCATGTGGGACAGCAGGGGGAGGTGTGGGGTTCACCACAGTGGGATGACACATACTCGCCATGGCGTAATCGGGGCAGTGGGTGGTGACCCCACTAGCCCAGCATGACTAGGCCAGACCAGTGCTGGGTGCTCCACACACCCCAGCTTCTCCAGATGCCCTTTCTCAGAGGGCTGCTGGGCCCTCAGCTTCATTCCCAGATTTGGGGAGACAAGCGCCGGTCAGGTCAGAGAGGTGGGGTCTATGCTAGGGTGTTGATGATATGCCAGACACCATGGATGGTCAGATTCTAGGACTGTCAAGCCAGGATGTGGGGGACAGGGACTTAAGAAGTGTGGGAAGAAAATATCCATTTGGGGACTGAAGTCTGAGTTTTACTTATATCATGTCTTCTGGCTTAGCTCCTGCCTGCCATGTGAGCAGAAGTTGGCTGATACCTGGTTTTGAAAAACTCCCCTTTTCAAGAGCAAGCAGTTCCTGCCCACAGTTTCCACTTTGAAGCACAGCCAGGTGGTGTTCCGATCATAGGCTAAGTGTAGGTTTTGAAAGTGGAAGCGGAATTTCTTTTGAGGCATCCTCTCCATCGGGATTCTAAGGACACAAGAGAAAATGGAAATGCAGAGCTTGCTACCTGGAGTCCTCCAGGCTGACGACCACCGGACGCCACTGCCTGGACTCCCCGGTCGCTGGGCCTCCCCCATCCTTTCACAGCCCTGAGAATTTCTGCTGCCTTTCCAGGCAAGAGGACTTCAGGGAGGAAGAGGAGAGGATGCTGGCAGGCGAAGCAGGGCGGGTGACCTCCCCCGACTTGGGCCGAGCTCTGGTCCTTCCAGAGGGACACCCCCACCCTCCCAGTGTTTCTGCCACCCATCCCCCAGCCCATTAGAAGTCAGCAAAAGAGGATGAAACTCTCCACTCCCAAATAAGAGCTTTTACCTTTTCAGTTCAATTCACCTCTAACTTCACCTATGCTCTTGACATTTTAAAACTGGGAGGACACCTAAGTCACAGGCACAGGCTCCTATTGTGAGCGCTGCTCCTGGCTGATCTCAGGGGATGCTGCCCTAAGCCTGAGGGGCCATGCCCATTCTACAGACAAAGTGCCTGAGGCACTGTCAGGTGGGCACCCTGCCCAAGTCACAGAGCTGGTGACTGTCAAAGCTGGGTCCCCTGCACTGGCAGCTGCTACATCGTGTGAGCTGAGGGAGGGAACAGTGGTGGATCTGGCTCTCTTGTTTAGTAAAGGTCAAAATAAGCACGTTTCTCCTGGTCATTAGGACTGGACATGAATGTTGAATCCCAAGGAGTAGGTTAGCGCAATCAGCAGTTCCCCTAGATCTAGATTTCACGTAAAGGAATCCCAGTGCACCTAGCCCAGCTTGTCCCCACACTCTCCTGCCCCCTCCACTCCCTTTCCTGGCCCCAGGCCCTGCATGGCCCTGGCAGCCTGGGCAGGAGTTTAGAGGAGGGACCATGGGAACGGCCACCCATCTACCCCAGGTGTCCTCATCTCCTGAGGCCATATTCATGGAAGACTCCAGAATGAGCTGGGGGGTCCTAGAAAGAAGCATGTGCTCTGCACTCTGGAGTGTTTGTCAATCAAAAGCTGAGAGGCCCTGGCTGAGCAGCAGGGAGGTTGGAAAGGAAGGTAGTGCTAAAAAGCACCAGGCACCTTCCCCGCTGCTCCAGACCAGGGGATTCCTGGAGCAGAGCCTGCAGGTGTCTGAGACAGGCCTCTGCTTAGTTGTCTCCTATAGGAGGAGGGGACAGTGTGGTCTGTGTGGAGGACAGAGACAATCAAGGAGTGTGTTGTCTGCGTCTGGACCCCTCTGGACCTCCCTCCTTGAAGGAAAGTGGGAACAGAGAGTATCAGGATAGACAGGCGGAAGCCACCAAGGGAACCCCTGAATCCTGTTCTCAGGAACTGTGTCAGGGATGCCCACACTAAGCAACTAAGAGCACAGGGAAGGAGGAACTGCAGGTTAGTGTGGGCCCAGATGTCCCACAGTGATGTCCTGGTGTATCCACACCGAGCTCCTTCCCACCTGCTGTTCCCTCTCCTGTAGCAGCCTGTAGGAGGTGCACCAGGTCAGGCTAGACTCTGCTTCCTCCTGTTCCCGTGTTACCAAAGGGCAGTGGCTGGTGTCCAGGTCCCCTGTGTGGACCCTCCCCCGAGCCACTCACAGCCCCCTGCTCCTTGTAGTTGTGTCCTGGGCCCCAAGACTCAGGTATCACTTCCTGTATCCCTGGCAGGGCCTGAGCTGCCCTTTCACTGCCCTAACTCTAACCCTAACCCTAACCCTAACCCTGTCTCATTCCTGGTTGTCCTTCTACCTTCTCTTCTGCTTTGAGCACCCCAAGCCTCATGTTACCCAACCCCACCTTTTGATAAAGCTTATGTAATGCAAACTGAAGCACTGAGTGTTTCCGTGGGCTCCCTCCCCACCAGCATTCCCAGGCTGGGTCCTAACCCAGAGCTGTGTCTCTGGGAGGGAGTTGAGAAG